AGGAAATCAGACACCGGCTGCTTAAAATGCTCCTTTTGTGGAGCTCATTTTGCTCCACAAGGGGTCCTTTAATGGTCCACTGGCTTCCTGTCGACTTCAGAATAGATTGACTGGTTTTAGGTTTCTTACTGGTCTAATTTCGGGGTTATTTGTCATTAATCTGTCATTGTTTTGTAATAATTTCTAAAGTTAGAGCTAAAAATCCACGAGGAGAGAACTTTGCTTCCTTTGTTCCACATTTTTGTGTTTGAAAAGCAATAAAAAAACTCGGCAAATCCACATTTAAACCAGAATTAATGAAAGAAGGGACATAATCTGAACACAATGGTTCCCTCTCAGCTGGAGAGCGGCACAAAGGGATTTAGGTTTAGAACACCACTTGTTAAATTTCACATTATAGCCAGTATTTAATAAAGAAAAACACATAAAGGTGCACCAAAAATCTATCTATCTATTTATCTATCTATCTATCTATCTATCTATCTATCTATCTATCTATCTATATTCTTTTTTTATATATTATATATTTTTTCATTTCTCTCCATTAAAACTGGAACTTTTAACCAGATTCTGTTTGCAGAAGACATATTCATATATACAGTAATATATATATATATATACATATACATATTCTATTTTGAATATATTATATATTTTTTTATTTCTCTCCATTGAAACTGGAACTTTTAGCCAGATTATGTTTGCAGAAGACATATTCATATATACAGTAATATATATATATACATATTCGATTTTGAAAATATTATATATTTTTTAATTTCTCCCCATTCAAACTGGAACTTTTAGCCAGATTCTCTCTGCAGAAGACATATTCATATATATATATATATATATTCCTACATACAGACGACATATATATACATATTCTGTTTTTATATATATATATATATTTTTTTTTCCATTTCTCTCCATTGAAACTGGATCTTTTAGCCAGATTCTCTCCTCAGAAGCTCCATCAGGTCAAAGACCCGGCTGTCAGAGTTCTGGGGCCATCTTCCCTGTGTCCCTCTGAGGGCCGTGACCCCCGGTTTGGGAACCACTTCACTGTGAGAGGGCGGAACAAACTTCCCGACGCTCCGGAGTACAAACATCCCGACGTTTTGGAGTAAATTTAGCCTCCGTTTGTGACCCAGAAGCCGGACTCTGTCAGAAACTCTGACCCAGAACCGGCCGCCTGGAGCCTGTCCCTGACAGGACGTGCTTTATGGCCACGGCTGACGTCAGAGGGGAGATAAGGGCCAGACCACACAGGCTCGCTCGCCCATCCCTCTCTCTCTCTCTCTTTCTATTACCACCTCGCCCTCTCTCTCTCTCTATTACCACCTATATCTCTCGCCCATCCCTCTCTCTCTCTCTCTTTCTATTAGCCCCTATCTCTCTCGCCCTCTCTCTCTCTATTACCACCTGTCTCTCTCTCTCTATGACCACCTCTCTCTCTCTCACCCTCTTTCGCCCTCTCTCTATTTCCAGTAAATAACTCAGATTCTGGTCTGAGTTATTTACTCTTTATGGCTGCTGTCAGATACATGCTGTTGGGATTTGGAGTTACAGAAATAAACCTGAACTGAATTGAATTGGTTCAAGCTCTGGTTCCAGCTTTGGGGGTCTGGTTCCAGCTCTGGTTCCAGCTCTGGTTCCAGCTCTGGTTCCAGCTTTGGAGCTCTGGTTCCAGCCCTGGTTCCAGCCCTGGTTCTGGTTCTACCCCTGGTTCTACCCCTGGTTCTACCCCTGGTTCCAGCTCTGGTTCCAGCCCTGGTTCCAGCCCTGGTTCCAGTTTTGGAGGTCTGGTTCCAGCTCTGGTTCCAGCTCTGTTTCTGGTCCAGCTCTGGTTCGGGTTCCAGTTTTGGAGGTCTGGTTCCAGCCCTGGTTCAGGTTCTACCCCTGGTTCCAGCCCTTAGTGTGTGGAGGGGACCCACCGCTCAGCCTGGCGGTGAAGGGTTCTCTGGGGCTGAAGGGGCATTTCCCCCTGCCGGACTCCACCCACGGGGACAGCAGGAACTCCGGCCTCTGCAGGACACAGAACCAGAGGATTTATATACTATTAAATATATAAATATAAATATATTATATATAAATACCCTATTTCAACAAGTTAAGCTAGTTCCCTGGTGTCCTAATGTAATGTCTGTGACAAGCTTTGGTCAAAATCCCATAATATAATATAATAAAATACCATCAGAGCGTTCTCTTTAAATGCAAATGAGAGAGGAAAAAAAAAAGAAAAGAAAAAGAAAAAAGGGAAAAAAAGGAAAGAAAGAAAAAAGAAGAAAAAAAAGAGGAAAAAAAAGAAGGAAAAAAAGAAGAAAATAAATAAATGAATAAATAAATGAATAAATAAATAAATAAATAAATGCAAATGAGACACAGGCAATCCGCCCACTTCTTCCAGGAGGTGTGCCCACGTGCCCAACGCTACCATGCTAACGCTACCATGCTAACGCTACCATGCTAACGCTACCATGCTAACGCTACCACGACGTCTGCCACAGATAGGGGAGTAAGCTGAGGGGGGGGG